GTGAGGCTGGGTCCTCCAGGACAAGTGGGGAATGAACAGCCTCTTCCCTTGTGGAAGCTTGTGAGTGGCTGCAGCAGGGCATTTCTGACCCGGGTGCTCTGCCCCAAGAGCTGCAGTGGGGCAGTCTGCCCAAGCCCAGGGCTGTCTGCAGAGCCCCCTCACTTGCTGCAGAGTGAGAAACTCTGGCTGTGGGCAAACAAACCCTCATCCCCAGGCAGAACTGCCTGGCAGAGCACAAGCACCTGTCCCAGCAGAGGAGCCACAGGCCCTCTGTACAGTGGGAGGCCCAGAGAACTCAGAATGAAATGGATTGCTAAGCAGAGAGATTGAGGGGTTTGGGCTTTTTGGTTGGCATTTTTTTCCCTAAGCGAAGTTTCTAAAGACTGGTGGAAGGCAGGAGTTAGAGCAGGACTGTTCATTGGCACTGGCTGTTTGACCTCCATGTGTTTTACCTCACCTCCAAGTGCTCAGAGCAGTCACAGGGTCCAGACACCTGCTGCTGACAGAGGGACTGGCAGGTCCTGCCAGAGGGAGACGGCGGCTGCAGGGAGCGAGGCAGGGTCAGGTGTGTGGTGGGAACAGCACAGGAGCTTGAGAGGAAGCAAAGGGCATTCATCCCCTTCTTCCCAGATCCCTGTTATCACCCTCCACAACTCCCCAGCATCAGGCTGCAGCCAGGTGGGGATCGGTCTCTCTCCCAGGTAACAAGCGAGAGGACAAGAGGAAATGGCCTCAAGTTGCACCAGGAAAGGTTTACATTGGATATTAGGAAAAACATTCTTCATGGAAAGTGTTGTCAAGCCCTGGAGCAGGCTGCCCAGGGAAGTGGTGAAGCCACCCCCTATCCCTGCAGATATTTAAGAGATGTGGCACTTGGGGACATGGTTTAGTGGTGGACTGGCAGTGCTTGGTTAATGGTTGGACTTGGTGACTTTAGAGGTCCTCTACATCCTAAACAATTCCATGATTGCTTCCTCTGGCATAATAGCAGCCATACCCTCCTCCTCACTTCTGCAGCTCGTTCCTGCAGCCAAATCCTTTGCCAGGCCAGAGTGCTCAGGAGGAAGATAGTGCTTACTGGAAAAACCCAGGTGGTTTGAGAGCATTTTTACTTGAGATCAGTGATGTTGTTTGGAATGCTGCCACAAGTTAGCAGCCTTGGGAAAAGGGACTGCCCAGCTGGGGACTCTTTGGACCATTTCTGTTACACCTCTTTTAAGATTTTTGTTTCACAGCACCAGGCCTTGGAAGAGGTTGGTCAATGGAAGCTGTTTCTGCTGGAGACAACTGATTTCGGGCCCACGCAGCAATGAAAAAATGTTTTGCATTTGGCTGGAGGCAGAAAAATTACGTTGGTAGGTGGAGAGAGGTTTCAATTCAACAGGTAATGAACCAACATGGTGCTTGCAAGAGGCTGTTACTGGCTCAGTAACAAACAAAAGGGAGATTCTTAGGCTCAATCCTGCAGCAGCCCAGAGAGAAAGCAGCAAATCTCTACCACCTTTATTTCACTGCAATCAGCACCTCAGGAGTGCAGACTGCCATGCAACCTCCACACTGAGGGAACTGGATGGGATAAATCTCATCTGGCCAGGCACTGCAGTGGTTCCAAGCTGCTGTAGAGCAGTGGGCAGCTGCAATGGTGAGTGTTGGCAGGAGCAGCCACAGCTCTCAGGTCCATTGGGGATGGTGTGCTGAGGTGATGCATGTGGATACAGGTAAGCAGCCCTGCAGGAAGGAAAGGGGAATGGGACATCCCTTCCAAGTGCTGCTTGAAGGATTGGGATGTGGCACATGAGAGGAGGCCAAGAGAAGTGGCCTTGTCTCCAGCCAGAAGTGGAGGAAAAGGTGAGTGGGGTTGATGCAGCATGTGGGAGAAAAGGAGGAATGAGAGGGAATGAATGATATGATCAGAGCAGAGAGCCGGAGCTGCCCTGCTCCACGGGTTTCAGCGTACACCCTTCCCCTCGGCCTCGTGGCGTTTTCTGTCTCATGCAAACAGTGTCTGTTGAGATGCTTTCCTTGCCAGTTCTGCTCCAGGCAGTGGCTGGGAGGAGAGGTGGGAGCTGTGGTCCAGGGTGGTCCCGGGGAAAATTGAATTTACTAATCCAGGTGTAAACATTCTGTCTCGGGGAGTTGGCAGTTTTGGCAGGTGTTCAAACCAATTCCACAGGCAGACACAGGAAACAAGACTCCCCATCCAAGCCCAGGCCCAATTCTGGAGGGCACTGTGGTGAGGAGGCTGGATGCCAGCACAATACTGATTCACCAATCATAAAAGCACAGGAAAAGTTGCATGAACAGTACTTCGGTGAAAGCAGGGAAACAGGACTTGGATAGTCAGCAATAGTGCAATTTGGCCTTGTTAAAAGCCTTGAGCATGTGAGGACCATACTTGTAGGCTTAATCCCACTCTCCTAAAAAAAATAATTTGTTTGAGGGCTGAATTGAGCCCAATGAAGTTTCAAGCAAATCCTGCACACTTGCAAGACCAGGAGCAGAGGGAACAGCTGTGCTCAGAAAGTGGCAGGAACTCTTTTAACAGCACCACACCCAGGTCTATGGCAGCAGCTTTTGTGATGGTCATGTTGCTTTGAAGGGAGCCAGGAGAGTGGGGGAGTGTGGTTTTGGTGTGGTTTTCTGTTGGCAGAAATGCAGACACTGTACGTTGCCAGTACAGAAGGACCCAGAGTCCTTTTTCCTGAACTGTACTTGGTGCCATAGGATTTTCTACCAGAGCTATATGGGCAGGGAAGCCCTGGGACAATTTGCGTTCATTCATTTACTGCAGAGACCAATTTTTTGCCATTCTCAGGGTGCAGTGACCCCAGAGGCCCGTTTGGCTCAGCCTGTCTTCCCCACCTGCCAGGAGACAGGAGCCAGCAGAGCGGCACTGCCAGGCTCACTCCCTGCGGGCAGCTGGTGAAAGAAAAGCGGGACAAGCTGAATTTTCCTCATGGTTCCACTGTATTGGTGCAGCCCTGGAGGCATCTGCTGTGTTTGTTTCGGGTACGGGCTCCTCCCCAGAGTTGTTCGGTCTCCTGCTAGGAGAGGGAATGGTGCATTCTTATGCTGTTGATTTATGATCCCAATTCTCTCGCACTGTGCTCATTTTCTTTCTCAAAGTACATTCTGCAAAGCTTGAGAAAAAAAGACCTGCATGACAATTGAAAGCAGTTTCTACAGAAGAGCTTCCTGCAGGAATCCTGCCATGGCCTTCAGCTTACATGCTAGGCAATGTCATGTGGAAAAGATGGCTTTACCCTGATGGTGTCCCTTAAATCATAATAGAAGCTGAGACATTTATAGCTCAGCCTGTGTACAGCATCTGGAGTCCCCTGCCCCCTCGTTGTCATGCAGAGCTGTATCCCGACAGAAGACCAAAGTGCTGCAACCTCTGTCCATTCCCACACCTGTTGGAATACTTAGCTTTATAAAACCACACCCAATTGTACAATGAGCCGCATGCAGAATGTTTATTTTGAAAGACCATCTTCAGAAATACAGCAAGTGCCTCAATGGATGGGTCTTCCTGTTCTTCTGTATCAAGTTTTCCATGTCTCTCCTATTACACTGGATCTTGTGATTCATGTTATCCCCCCTCCTTTTAACCAGGCTAAATTTGTCCAAGGTGGCCTGAGGCTACAGAGCCGATCTGATCCCTGCACAGCTCCTCCTCCCACACCGTGGAGAGTGTTTTGTTCTATATTTTTGTATTTGCAACCTTCCCTTTTACTGACCAGCTACGAATACCATGAGAATTGCCTCAAATCCCTAGTACATAATGGGATCATCCTCACAGAGTCATAACCAAAACTGGTCACTTCTCCGTGACTCCTGCCAGAAACTGCAGCACTTTACAGAGGCTGCCTGGCCCCAGCAGTCCCCTGGTGCCCCTGGTTCAGCGACCTGGAGACCAGCAGTGGCTTGGTGCAGCTCTTTTTCCTCTCCAGCTGTTATTTACTCCCGAGTGGAATACAGGGGTATCCAGACTGCTATCTCCTCCCTCTCCCCTCCCTGTAAATTCCTTTCCCTGTATCCTGCTCCAGCCTAACCACAAAACAAAGACTCGATGCAGAATTTTTACAGGAAAACATTAATGAGTGCCGTTTTTGACCAGCTGCTGGTCTGTGTTATGTAGGAGAGGCACTACGGTCAGGATTAGCCGAACCACACCTGAGCTTTACAGACCCAGCACAAGGAAAAGATCCACAGGGAGAAGCGATGGAAGCAGGGAGAGATCAGCCCCTTACCACCGTAGCACTGAGGACCAGTACTGCTGTTGGCTGGGTAAGCTGTAGCCATCAATGAATGAGCATTTTGGGTGTGGTGGTGTGGCTGTGCCCGCCCCTCCCAAATGTCGTGCTTGGTGTAAATGTCCCTTCATGCGCTAAGGCCACAGCCCTTGGGAGTTGTGACACGTGAGTGCTGGAGAGCTGAGCAAGCCGTGAGCTCTGTGACAGATGCACTGCGCCTGTCTGAGCCCGCTGCTTCCCTGTGCCTGCAAACACGGCAAAGCCAGCACACAGCAGAGCCGGCACCCTTTCTGTGTAGCCCTCGGAGCTGGAGAGCCAGAGTGACTAACACTGTTCCAAGAAAAACAAGATTCTTTCCAGAATTGCTCTTTGCAGTGATAAAAAGCAAGAAGCGGTCAGCCTGAAGAGTAACATTTCTGGAAAATGCATCAGCCCTGCCATGCCCGTGTCATCCTGCTATCACCCAGCTTTGTGCCAGACACTGCCTGCTTGTCAGAAACCACCCTGCTGAGGACAGGGGCACCTTTTCTTTCTCCAAGGACTAATGATATGAAAAGATGATGCAAAATCTGACTGGTTTTGTTCAGCTCCGGTGCTTTATTAAGAGCAGGAAGCCACTGGGCCTTACACCACTAAGGAAATCAGTGGGACACACTTGTCTGTGGATGCTCTTGACTCAAAATTTCCCACTTATGGAGTATTTTTTCATTTAATGCTATTGAAGCAAAGAAATACCACCAAAAGCCCAGGTGCAGATTTTTATTGGTCTGTGCCAGGAAAACAAACAAGGAATGCTAACACTGCTTTCTCACTCAAGCTTCTCTAAATAATCAGAAGAGAAAAATTAGCTAATGAAGTCCAAAGCAAGTTAGGGAGGGAGTGGAGGGAGCTGCCACACCAAAATGTATACAGAATGGTTCAAGGACAGCACTGCTGGCAGGCAGCAGGAGGGACAGCCCAAGGAAAAGAGAGGGCTTTCCATTCAGGGTGCCCTGAAAAAGTAAATATAATGTGCTTCCCTTTCCCTCGCCATGCTCCTAACTCAAATCACAGAGGAGAAGGGGAACTCACTCATCTTCTGTCCTAGGAGGCTGTAGGATCCTTGTGGAATCCTTGTCCAAGTTCATGTGCAACTGTGGCAGGGTGAGTGCTGTCAGCTGCACTTGGTCCAGCAGCTGTCCCAGCAGGAGAATCTTCCTCTCTCTCAGTGGCAGATGCCTCCTGACGCGGTGCCAGATCAGCCAGAGCCCTCTCTGTGCCCCCATGGATGATCTGATGAGCAGCATAGATGTGTTTTCTTTGGGACTGTCTCACTGTGCATAAAAAGAGATAAGGCTTTTACTTGGAAATGTACAGCAAAGTGTTCTCTGTAGGGAAGAAGGGAGGAATAGCTTTCAGCAACCCTGCAGCTGTGGAAAAGTCTGTCTCAGGAAAAAAAAAAATCACGCCCTTCTAACTTTGGCTGAAAGCGTTCTACTGCCACCTAATAGCAGCAACAAACTTTACATTTCACTTTGAAGACTAGCCCCCACAGTGGGAAGCACAGCCAAAGTGTTCTTTCCGGCTTTGGGAACAACTGCCCAGGATATATTTTCAGGCTTTAACATGACTTCTCCTTCAGTGTCTGTTAATTGCAGCAAGCCTCTGAAGAATCCAGCTGAAATCTGCTATCTCCTGTGCCAGGATTTGACCTGCACTCAGAAACTCTGACTGAGTTCAAAGTAAGACTCGGAGCCACGACTGACACATGAAGTCACCTGCCTACCTTATCACCTCCCCTCAGCTACTGCAGGATTGCCTCCTTTCATCCAAAGCTATTTGTATGCATTTCCAACCCACCTCCTGGGAAATAATTACCCAAGCCTAAGTGTTCACCCTACAGCTCTCTTTATTGCTCTTGACTATTCTTTGTTCTCCCTTTCCCTCTTTATCTCAGTCATGGAGACTGAAGTACTGTGTGCCTTATGGAGGGTGCAAGGAATGATGCAGGAGCAAGGTGTAGCTCTCATCCTGCCACTTCCCTCCAGAAGTCCAAGACTTACTTTGGCCTGTTTCAAGGCTGGGCTGTGCTTAGACTGTAAATCTGAAGCACTGGTGTCCTGCATGCTGGCACACAGTTCTGCTGTCCCTGTCTCAGTCACTCAGCGTTACCAACCCACCCTGTTTATGTTTATCCATCTCCCAGGCCCACTTTGTCAACCATGAATGCAACTGGATCTCACTTGCACTTGAAAAGCTGACCTTCACCAGCCAGCCCTCATTCCCTCCCAGGAGAGGTTTCTCTACCCAAGGCATTTTGGCTTCGGTCGTGTTTGCATCAACTGCATCAACTATAGTGGGAATTCTCCCCTGGAATTTCTGCAGTCCCTTTCTCCCTCCACAGTGAATTCCATCTAAAGGACAGTGTGCTGAAATTGGTGAGTGTCCTTTTCCAAGCGAGGTTCTTCATATCAGCACAGTGACTCCTACTTCCACTGAGGCAGGGTTCAGAATTGAGGTGCAGAGGTTTTTCAGGGTGAAGCAGTATGGGATAACCCCTGCTTTTATGCATCAAAATACAATGAAATGAGGAGGAAAAAATCCCACACTAGGCAATGGCAAAACAGAGGTGTTTAAGGGGAAGTTAAAGTGTAGGCAAAGACTAAACCTGCAGGCCCTCAAATCTTTGTTCTACAAATGGATTTGCTCCTTTGACAGGACAGGTAATTGTGCTCTTAGATCACTTCCTGAGAGTTTCAAGGAAGGTGAATGCTCAAGCATGGGCCAAAACAATTGCTAAAACACAGTTTCATAATGAATAATTTGGCTCACTATAGGGGAGGCTTTAAAAGCCACCACAGAAATGCAATGCAGTAATGTGTTTATAAGATTTAATGCCATTCTTTGGTACTATTTCCTTTGGATTTCCATGGAATAGTTAATGATTCTGAAAGTATCACTGTGCAGGAGGTTTACAGCAGGGTGTGTTCATCAGGGTGTACATCTGGTAGAATTCAACTGTCTTAAGTGGAGTCCCCTCTACCCCATGCAGCAATAGCAGAAGAGAGTATGAGCCACGTCTCTTCCTGACATTTGATTTCTGCTGTCACAAGACTATCACGACAAATTTCTCCTGATCACATTTGATCACTCTTACTTAACATCCTACTGCTGTATTCCACCAGCATTCCCTTTAATTTTGAATTTGGTCTAGCTCTGCTTTCCAGGCAAACTCACTGTAGCTATCACAGATTCTGAAGATTTTTTTTTCTTCTGTTGTTTGGGAGTGCTTCTGAGGTACATTGTTCACTAGCTGCTGTTGCATTTAAGTCTGGTATGTATTTTGAGCCTTGATGAACATCTTCACTATGTCCAGAATCCTAAGCCATCTCCAGGTCTTCTTTCTGCTCTCCTTTCTGAGGCAGGCTAACCTGTGTGTGCTAGTGCCTGAGCTGCAGGCTTCACTGACTACAATTACATCACCAGCTCTGGAAGGCTGGCAGAAGCAGTGCTGGAGCGCAGGGAGCTGATTTAAGCTTATGCAGAATTGCCAGCTGCAGAACAGGTACTGTTGTTGTGGCAGCACACAAGCCAGGAAGAAGAAAGTTCCTATAGTTCTGAGACCACAAAATGTGTACTCAGGGTTTGTGTTTTCATTCACAAAGCAATAAAGAGGCACTGAACTAAGTGTCTTTGTTCTCAAGGCAGAGAAGTGCACTGTAGCAAGGACCCCTACAAGCTGTGTTGTGATGCAATTGTTTTCCTTAGGTCATATTCACTTTCTGTGGGTGACTGGTTTAGTCACAATCTTCCACCTGTGCTGGTCAGTGGAAACATCCCAGTTAGGAACAGCCACTTATTCATTACATTACTTAATGTAATACACAAGTTTCCAGTGTCTTTCCCTCTGTATTTTGATAGACAACATTCCATTTTTTGTTAAATAGAAATATCCTTTACAACTGCAGGGTTATCTCCTTAAAACATGATGCTACTACAGCCAACCTTAAAACTTTATCTTTACCTCTTGCTCTCAGCCAACTGGGAAGGAGAGGGAAGCATAGGGAAGTATATAACCTTCCTTCCATATATGACATATTTAAGTAATTTGCTTGTTAAAGTCTTCTGCAGGTTTAGAAATTGCCATATAATAACACAATTCGCAGCTGTGCTACTTAAAGATTTTTACAAGTTTGTTTCTGAATGTGCAATGGGCTGCTTCTTTTAATGCAGTTTTATTGTTGCAGAGACACCAAATTTCTCATAGCAAACCAGGTTGGAACATCAAAGATTATTTGATCCAACCTTTCTTGGCATAAGCACAGGCCAGATCTTACAGCAGGTCTGAATTTCAGTCAACATTTAAAAAGACTAAAGCTCATGAGAAGCTCATGACAAAAAGGTGAAAGAGCTTAACTTTCTAACTGCAGAGAGCCAAAAAGGAATCTCAGGGAACTGAGACAACTCTTAGCTGCATCATTCCTTTCAGGGAGCTAGAATAAGGAGAGTGAACCAGTTCATAAAGAAAATAAAGTTACTGATCTTACCTCTTTCTCTCATGAAGTTTTTTTCAGCCTCTGGGATCAGGAAATTGTAAACCAGCTCTGCTACAATCTCTTCTGACTGTAGGCGAGTTCGACTACAGGACAGATGTACAGTGGTATTAGTATTTTAATTTTCTATCTAGACCACCTCTGCAAAAACAGGTCTCCCTTGTTTTACTCTCTCCAAGGGAGTGTATTGTCATGGCAGCAGTTGTCAGCTGGGTCTCTTTATCCTACAAATAGATGACAGTGTGACTATTCCCCTGTGCACAGCCAGCGTGTTCCACAGTGCATTGGAAAGCAGGATCACCCTATACTCCTTATCCTCAAAGGTACTGAGAAGCTCAGCTCCCTCTGATGACAAACTGAGTCAGACACAGAGATATCGCTGAGGATTTGTGTCTTTGTCAATGTAGTCCTTGGTCCATTGCTGAGTTTGCTAAATTCTTCCCTTTTGTGACTCTGCACTTGGCTGGCCCCCATGCTCTTTTCCACGCCAGTGTTTGGTGGGTTCCCAGTTGGCCCAGGGGCTGCATGCATTATCTGTGCTTCATTCCCCCAAGGATTCCAACGTTCTGCTTGCATTCATCTAGATACAAAATCCACAGCTGCTGTACCATAGGAGAGTCACTGTGTCATTGGGATTTTTATGGCTCAATTCCAAAAAAAGAGCACGGAAACTGAACCGGGGGTTTGGCAGGACCTAAAAAAGTATTCACTGCTGATGCCCCGGGCAAACACAGACTGTGGTGTTCTCAACAACTTACTTTACTCCAAGTGCCTTGTCAGGCAGCCATCAATATGAGTGACCTCCGTGGACATTGGCAGCTCCTTAAAGAACAGCCACCCCAAAATGAAAGGCTGTGTATAGCTGTATCTTTTAGGATCTCTTTCAAATGGATTTTCTGTAGTAGTGTAAATAAATGAAAAGATCGGTATGAATGGGTATTGCTTTAGGCAGTTCTCATATTCATTTAAAGCTCAGTCACAGCCTCACACTGGTGTGGAGAAATCTAAAAAGGGTGATTCACAGATCACACAAGTGATTTGCAAAGGGAACCTGGCATACACTGTATGGAAATAAGGCTCGGATGGATTTATATGTGTGTAGCAGGTAGGAACAGCCTGGTTCCCATACAGCAGCCACACTAATGAAGCGACCATGAGCAGCACTGCCCTGCCCTTCCCATGGCTTGGATGATGTACACAGCCACAGATGCACATGGTCAGGCAGGTTCTAAAGTGCTGTGAACAGCCCCTCACGTGCTGTTTAATAACCTACCGACTTTCCATTTCGTAAGCAATGTCATTGATTTCTACAGCCCTTTTCTGAACCTCTTCCCTGGCCTGCTCTTCAGCTGTCCTCTCCATACTGCTCAGGATTATGTCTTCCAAGTAGGTATCAATAGTTCTGTCCTGAATATGTACCACCTAGAACAAAACACCAAGATGTTATTCCTCTGCCTATTCCTGTGCCAGGAGCACAGTGGAAGATTTCCAGAGAAGCATGAACAACAGATTTTCACAAGACTCTTTGTTTCAGGCAGGCCAACCTGAGATTTGTTTTCAGAGATGCTTTCTGTAAAAATTTATTTTCTAGTAATTCTTTCTGAGAACCGATTGAACAAATGCAGGTGAAATAAAACCAATTCACAGATCCAATTCTGGTGCAGCAGGTTAATCCTGTGAATGTAATGGCAGTTGTTCCCTCAGTTCTCACAGTCCCCTGAGCAACAATTGCCAAGTAATAATCATGGATATTGACTTCAGTAAATAAATCAGCTTTCATTCAAGCAAACCCTGAAGGAGAAAGTTCCATCAAGCCAGTCAAAATCCAAGATAAAATTATTTGCTTTCTTATAATGGTTGTAGAGATGAGATTCTAGAAATGTGTGTTTTCCTTCTCCTAATCTGAAGGGCAAAAGTTTATGGCACCTTGGCCTTACCCGCTTACCACTCAGAAATACAGAAAAGACGAGAAGCTAAAATTTTTAAAAAATAAACATGATGCCAGACCCTTTTGGTATTAACCACCTCCCACAAGGTTTGAAAATTATTGGTTTAGTCAATTAGACTCCCACTCATGTCTTTCAACGGGGAGAAGTAGAATAGTTATGGAGTATGGTAATTCAGGGTTTTTTTCTTGGTTTCAAGGTTATTTTATCTATTATCATTACTTCAAAATAAATGCTGTACCTCTTGTTATTTGCAGTCCACTTGAGCTGGGGGAGGGGTCAAAGTCTTTCCAAACCCTTGCTTAAAGGCATCCTTCCTGGAAAAGCACCTAATATTTCTGCTGGGCAGAACAAGCGCTGACAAAACATTATCCCTAGAGATGATCTAGGTACATCTTTTCTCCATAGGTGTTTATTGGAGAAATTTAGAAACCTACACCCATTCATGACAGGCCTAACAGGAATGTCTGTAGGGGTATTTAGATCATCCTTAGTTTGACAGGCCTGACTCTCTCAGGAAGGAATCACTCTCTCTTCACTAAGCTTTCCCCCTCAATTTTAAAACTAGCCATCACCAAAGTCAGTGCTGCAGCAGCTCCCATCCATCTGGACCTTCCCACAAGGAGGCAGCTCCTACAAACTGCCTACAGTCCAGCCAGTCTCCCTCTCTTGCCTGTCTGAAAAGCTCATCTTCCTCTTGCCGCTGGCTCTCTTCCAGCTGCCGCCGTCCGCTCTCCTCTGCTTCCCGCATCCGCCTCTGCCTCTGAGCCAGCAGGGCCAAAGCGTGGTTCTTCCGTTCTTCTTGCAGCCTCACCAGCTCTTTGGACAGAAAATCAAGCATGTTCGCCAGTGACCTTCCTTCTACTGTGGCCAAGTCTCTTTCCAGTGCTGACAGCTTTCAAAAGAAAAATGCAAAGAATTGTGTTAGAAACCCCAGGAACGCTGTACGAAGTCCCAGCACTACCACAGGCATGTGAGACAGCTCTGCAGCATCCACTCGAATCAGCCATGGGACAGTCCCAGGAGTTTGGCACTCTTCATGTGTTACATGCCCTGACTGGTTTATGCACAGTGCAGCTTCAGGCATTGAACCTAAAATTGTACAAGTTACTAACTGCTGACAAATTCAAATTGACAGTAACAATATATTAAGTTTGCAGAAGTGTAAATGAGACCTCAGAATTCGGGGTAATGGAAAAACAGAAAGTCTGTGACAGAGCGGAGACAAGATTCCAGGTGTTCAGGTTTATGGTGCCATTCACTCCTTGTTCCAAGCACATCCTGTTTTATGGGCTGGCTATGTGTGATTGTACTGCAGAAAGAGACAAGATCTATTGGGAGTTCATTATCTCCAGAATGAACTCTGAAGCCACAGGCCTTGGCAGGAGGGAATGTCTGGAACTGGCTGGGATGCTGTGTTCTGTTGAAATAAACAGGCAATTACAGAATAGACCTAAACATAAAAGTTGAAGTGGAGCTGAAATATCCCAGACAAGAAATAATAAATCAGCTTTCTTATACAGTTGTGCCATTTGCCCAGGCAGTGTTTCAAAGGAAGTGGGATTGTCAGTGTTGCACACATCTAGAAGTGACAGCACTTAGCCCACAGGTGTTTCAGATGGAAGATGGTGATGCAGTAACTGCACCACCCCACAGGGAGACTAAACATGGAACTAAAGTGCTCCCTCCTCTTCATTGCTCCAGGTGCTGTATATAAAACTGGTGTGAAATGGAGGAAAACAACTCAGGAACACTCTTGTGTTAGATTTTTGTTATATATGAGTCAACAGTTTTCAACTCCTTATCTCTGACTGTTTTATGTGGCATTTCCATCCTCTTTCAGCCAGAAGCATTTCTTTTACACTGAAATGGTCAAAACCCTGAAAAAAACCCCGTGACCACCAAACCGTATAGAACTGAGAGTCATCAGTGACTTTCTGAAATAGGCACACACAGAGAAAACTCCTGCACATGCATTCCTGAGAGTTTTGAAGTTCAAAATGTTTGAAAACCTGAGCCTTGGACTGTGAACCTCCAGAGACAGTAAAAAAAAAAAAAAAAAAAAGTGAGAGGAGGCCAGTACCAGCAGAGGGGGATAGTGGCTCTCCAAAAAGGAAATTCTGAGATCAGAGGTCAGTATCTTTACCATTTGCTCTCCTTCCTTCTCTATGAATGTCATTATGGTGTTTGAACTGCTTTCTCCTTCACTCTCATGTGGGCTGCCAGAAGAAATGGAGCACTGCAAGTTTCTAATGCCTGAGATTTTATTTTTCTCTTAATTCCTCAGAAGAAATATTCTGTATTCCTGTATTCCACACCTGTGTTTCCTGTGCATGAGGGAGTATCTGGAAATGCTAAATGTTAAATGATAAAACAGTCACCTGGTTCAATTTTTACTGAGATTTTAGGGGAAATTTTGTTGCTGCCCAACCAGCAGGAAACAGTGGTCTGGCTTCATCTCCACCAGGCCAGTGGATGCTGTTATTTTAATATGGAAGCTGACAAATTGCCTCACAGCTGGTCATTGAAAAAACAGCAGAGTAGTAAAAACAAGAAAACTTGCAGGAATGTGACAGATACTGTATTCTCTGAAATGTAGTGAACTCTAGACAAAATTTCTTTATAATCCAATCCCGACCAGCATCTGCCATTTCATTCACTCTGCCCTGGAAGGCTGTAGCACTGTAAGGAAACAGGATGGAAATTTGCATCCCTGGCTCTCACTAGATCCTTGGCAGAGAATGGAGCCCAAAATTTCTTTGCTCTGCTTACAGTGGCAGGTACCTCAATGTGTCACCATTGCTAAGGTTCTAGAAGTCTTGAGCCCAGCAGGATTCACAAAGTTGGCTTTGGCTTCCTTTTTGAGGTTTTATGCTGAGGAGGAGCCTGAGAGGGTGCCAAGCTACAAAAAGGACAGGGAAATGACAGAGCAGTAACAAACATTCAGGAAAACATCCAACAGATGTGACTGACAAGCACATCTTGTGATACCAGGTCATAGTACCAGTCAAATGGATTGAAATGTGGGAAAACTGAGGATCATCTGACACTGCAGTTTGTTCAAATCTCTGCAAATATAAATAAGTGCTCTGTCTGCAAACAAAGCAAACACAGCCTGCATAGCAGCTGTGGTCAGGGTGCCTCAGTCTGTTTCTGAGATTCCCCAGAGTTTCCAGAGCACTGAGAGACCAATTTTAGCCCCTCAGACATTCAGTGCTTGGCCTGTGCTAGGAGAGCTTTATTGCTTCTGGGGTGCCTTCTGTGCTGTGGATAATAGAAAACATAAAAAATTAAATGTGAAAGTGTTGTGGTACTGCCGGCACAGAGTGTCTGGTCAGGACAGAGCTGTGAATCAACCTTCCCATCTATGCAAGCAAACCTGGCGCATTTGTGACTCATGCTGTCGCTGTAAAGACAGTGTCATTTGCTTCTGTGCCTTCAAGAGCAGCTGTCCATCCTCCTGGAGCGCGTGACTGGTGCGCAGCTCTTGGATCAGGTCCAGGTGCTTCTCCTTCCCTTCAAACATCTTTAAAATAAAGGTAAACAACTGAGCATATTAAATGGAGACTAGAGAGCAACATGTTTTTGCTAGCAGAGCACACCCTTTTTCTCCAAGTTGCAAGGTCAGCTGTTACCAAGACCTAGTTCTCCATAACAAATTTTTGGTTGTATTTAGGCAAATGCTACAGCTGTCATGTAAATCTGCTACTTCTTTTTCTTCTTTTTTATTTTTTTAATTTTCTTTTTTTTTAAATTCTTATTATTCTACTTGGCTTTACCCAAACTCAGACCATTGCAATGCAGAACACCACCTATGTCAAAAGGGTAATAGTCTTTTGCATACCCTGTTATATCAGCCTCAATGTCACAGCTTCACAATGTTTCAACATCTCCTGTCCTCTGACCTTCGTTTTGAGGGATCCCAGCAACAGCCCAAAGCCATAAATTGGTGGGGAGGTTGCTGAAACTGCCATGATCCCTGTTACGGAGTTATGTAACTTCAAACACTGTTTTACTTTCAATCCCACTCTCTTCCAACAGGACTTCCAAGACCAACAAAAGATCACTCAACCCTGCTTGTGTCATTCTCTAACTCAGTAATATATTTCTGATCCAGCAGTAGCTGGAAGCAGATTCTTAAAATGGTGGGATATTTAATGCTCTGAAAGTCAACAATCCTGCAGTGGCCTCAACCATCCTTCTTACAGATCATCACACAACTGGAGAACACTTGGGAAGTCTATATTCCACCTCAAGCTGCTTCCATGATATCGTATCATTTACTAAAGCTCAGGGTCCTGCATGGGAACTCTTCAAAACATTAAACAGTTACTGCAAGAGAAAGTATCAATTGTACTCTTTGCGGACATAAAAACAAACCTTCAGGACTAGTCTGATCACAAGTGACAGACTCAATATAAAGCCCAGGGGGCATGGCTAGGAAATTAGTTTTTAGCTAGACCCCCTTCTGTTCCCCTGAAAGCAGAATGATGGGTCCTGCACATCACAGGTAGGCTTCAGCTGCTCCTCATCTGTGGTCCAGCTCACCACCAGTGGAAATCAGAAAGATGGTACAAAATACAAACCGCCCTGCTGGGATGTGGGAGGTTTCTTGTGCCTGGGACCTTGGCGTAATCATGGCAAAATGTACTCACAGTCCAGATCTAGTCTGGAATTTTCCATTTGAGTAATTCTGCTATGAAGAGACTCATTACCCCTGATTAGTGCTGTGGAAGAAAGATTTCAAACACCCTTTGCAATCAATCATTCCCACCATCATTCTGAAGACTGACATTAACAAAGAGTTACCATGTTAACAAACAGAATACCATGTTCTGAAGAGCCCTGCCTCGGAGCAACTTCTGCAGACAGATCACAGCCAGGTCTATTTCCTCTTCCTCCTGCCAAAACATAACAAATATCCACACAACAATGATGTCATTCTTTGGAGACTGGGATTTCTGTAGATTATCTGTCTAACTGTTAAACAGTCTAACTCATATCCTGTCTTTTCTTGGTTGTTTCTGAACACCATTCTTCTAATTTCTAGGGAAAGGAAAGTGAGTCAGAATAACATGTACTTCCGTGTTTTACAAGGGATGGGGAAGAAAGGTTGTATAATTAGATTCTATTTGAGATTTTACAGGATCTTTAGAGATGAGAGCCTAATGGTAAGGAGACTTCGATGGAGAAAATTACTGTATGCATTTTAAGTAATATTTGTAGCTTAACTGAATCCAAGTTTGCAAAATGAGCATCAGCTACATTAATTCAACAGGTTGAGACACTAAGAGGACAGAATATGTCCAAGAGAGCTGTTAAACACAGAAAAGGGTTTTAAATTGAAGAGGAACATATACAATTTTTCTTTTGATATTTATTCCAGTGGTGATCTTTATCAGAGTAACTCAGTAAACTTAAGACTCAGAAAGTGATAGTTTGGAAGTAAAATTAACTACAGTCCATTGTGATTTGTCTCTTTGAGAACTTTACTGGCCTAGCATTGTGTGATTGATACCTACTTGGAAGAATGACAGAGCATGTGGTGGGAAAGGGAACATGACCACAGAAGGTTAAAAAAAAAAAAGGGCTTATTTTAAATAGAGGAAATAGACAAAGCACAGATGGCAGTATTTTTCTAGGTGAGGGGTTTTCTAGTTTGGAGTTGACAGTAGGAAAAGGATAAAATCCATTGGGTGCCTGGGAAAGATAGAAAAATCTTAAAATTGGAAGCATGTTTTTTTTAATAAAGAACCTATGAGGTCTGCATTGACATGTGGTATTTAAGAAGTGCTGGAAAAACAGGGAAGAGTGTGGGATGAGAGAAGTTATGTGGGCTTAAATCTTAGTTATGTTTTCTCTTAGGTGTTGAAGACTGAGTTTTCCCAGTGCAAAAGGAAGCATTCCTGCCGTTCCACACCAGCACCCGGGAGGAGCAAAGCAGAACTAGCGAGAGGACTTTTGATTTGGTATGTTCTTCTCTGGAAAGAAGGGATGAATTTCCAGTTCTAAAGAGCTAAACTCTACCACATCACCTGGCTACAGTGTGAAATCCTCTCAGGACAGTTTTGGAAATGTTGATGGCACACATACCAGTAAGTCAAACTGCTTGGTGTGATATTAACTAAGAATAGGTTTGAATTTTTATGAGGAGTATTTTTCTGTACTTCTGTTTTTGAATTCAGCAAATGATGCCTTAGGAAGTGTAATATCAGCTTGTCCATCTGCCTGCTACAGACCAGCAGGATAGAATGAGGGGACATGAAAAGCCTATCATGTCCTGCAGGAAAAAAAAAAAAATTAAGGATATAGAAGAATCTAGGAGATAGCTGCAAACTAGAGGAGGCTGGAAGAAAGTCATAAAGTAATGAAGGAATTCAGAGGTGCTCTGTGAGCTTTTGTGGCTATTAAGTCCATTAGAAATGACTAGGGGAGAGAAGGTGAGGATGCTTGCAGTAGTGCCTCTCTCCCATCCATTCTCTCCACTTTCTTCTGGCACAGTTCCTTTCCAAGATCCTCAGTTCCAGTGGGAGGCACTTAGCAGTTGGTACTTGTATGGGTGTGTGGCAGGAAGAGAAGCATTAACAACAGAGAAAAGCCTTGTTTTCACTGCTCCTGACAGCCACCCGGTAGGAGAAACCTTACTTGGATTTGTCAAGGCAGGAGATGTTAGTGCTGCTCTTCAGTGGCTCAAGTGGCCTGATTTTACAGATGGAGCTTCACTGGAGAGCTCCATCTTTTATGTGTTCCCACATAAAGATTCTTGAAAATAAACCAAATGTTGACAAAATTAATGAAGATGAAATTTTATTGTATTGGAATTCTTAAAAAAAACCCAACTATAATCTGTGAGCACACTCAAGAATGGCTACAAGTGTAGGAACGTTTTTCTGATTTCTTTACAGGTTACATCACAGTATTTAGAAATCTGCCAAACTGGTAAACCTAAACATGTAAACTCACCACTGCAATACAGTATCTAATGCTTAGAAGTTGGTAAAGATGTGGAAAGTTCTCCCTGAGGAGATAAGAAATTCTAGTTGCAGTCATCTTAAAATAGACTGCATAAAACATAGAATATCATACTGCACAAAGAAACACAGCAACACGGATGATTTAATGAGGCTTTGTCTCCTCCCTTTCATGGTTGTGTGGTTCTTAAATTCACAAGTTTACATGGCAATTCTGTTTGATTCTTGGTACATCATGAAAATGGTGTTAGTAAGAAGACAAAACAGTCCACTGGGGCAACCAGCTCTTGAGTATGTTACTTTAAGAAAGGAAAGGAAGTTGCAGCTCCCCTAAAAAGCAATTTTTCCCTACAGCATATCACATCCCCCATGACACATCATTACTGCTGTTTCAGTCTCTGCAGGAGAATCATTATCTGTGAACTGGTGCATGCTCATCAAACACAGCATCCTGCATGATGACAAGACTTCACTCCAAAAAATTAATGAAGTGCATGCTCAGTGCTAAGCAGCCAATGTCTCTCTAACTTCAGTAAGTCTAAACTTAATTGCCTCACTGGATTACGATAGTGTTGTCAGATCAGAAGGTTGGAAGCTACTGAATAATAGTAATATTATTATTATTATTATTATTATTATTATTATTATTATTATTATTATTATTAAGGGAATAACATGCCTACTAATTTACGTCTTTATAAAATAAAGTTTACTTAAGGATTTGGCCAACAGATACTGTAAATTATTTCAAATCTTGGGCTGCTAGTATCCTTATAGAATAGAGACAGAGTCTTAAGAAATAATGATGGCTATTTTTAACATGGATGCACACAAAAGATGAAACTCCCTTCTTTCATTCCCTGGGCATTCCTCTAACAACTGTGTGGGAAACAATCAGGGACCAACAGGGAAAAAAGTGCTAAAACCAGCTCACTTACAATTGATGGTTTTTCCAGGATTAAAGTGGGTGGCTTAGGAACAGGGCTTTCTATTTTTTCACAGACAGGGGGAGGCTTCTTTGGCTCCTTGAGTTTATTCTTCTTCTCCAGTAGTGCCTGCAAAAGATATCCAATTTAATAAGAACATGGGTAAATAGAACAACATAACAAGACCACTCCTCTAGATGCTGACTGTTGCTGACCACACTGACAACAGGGAGCTGAAAGCTTGGCAGGCTTGTGGTTTCTATTTCTTACTGCACATCAACTGAAAAACTGAGTATGGTCATAGATGAGGCTATTGGTTGGTCAGAAGACATTGATGGCAATGTCAAAATCATATGTAAGAAGGAAGCAGGAGTTATTTTACCATATTAACTAACAAGTCATCAGCATTTGTGAGTCACCTAAAATTAATCTAAAATGGGTATGAACTTCATCTCTAATTCTCAAATAATTAATTTTCTAAGAATGCTATAGCTCTTTGCCTTTACCAATAGGTAATGCTTGTTACTGTGGTTTAGAAATGCTATGCACTCAGGAGATTTTATGAAGGAATCACTGGAAGAGGGTATTGTCATTGTTCTGTGACAGTGAAATGTCTTTGTATGATAGGCTATTACTGCACGAGATTGAACCAAATGACCCCTTCCTAGCAAAATATGTTTTGCAACTCTGCTCTGCTCATCTACAACTGCCCAGCAGCCCAGTGGCACCCACAGCAACTGTACTGGTGGACTGGGGGCAAAAGAGAAACTGTCCAAAAACTTCCATCTACCATGAAAATGCACTGAATGGTCAGAGTGGGTTTATCTTGCTTGCAGCTGATTGGTGGCAGATGCCACACTTTGTCAGCAGACTAGAGTGCCACCACAGCCTCAGCTCTTTCAAGACATTTTCAAACTGTTTAAAAAGACCAAGTCCTGCCAATTTCCCACCCAGCCCCTTAGAACTAGAAATTCAGATAAGCATTTCCAACTGCATGACAATGCTTGCCTGCTGCAGGTCATCAAACTTTGGCTTGCAAAGAAAGGGAATGGATTTAAATCCATTTAAATCTTCTTCAAAACTATAATCCTACTACTGTATTGGTTGGATCTTTAGTCTTTATTATTGAAAGATCATATTCCAGCAAGGGAAAGTGTGCCTTTTCCTTTTTTCACTCTTCCTCTTTCAAATGTTCAAATACAGTATTTCACCAGGGAAGGAAATCAAAAGAAAAACTTTAGAAAAAAGTTCAGTGCTGAATTTATCTCTCCAGTAACAGGAAACTGATGGCATTTGCACAGAATTTAATTGTGAAATTAATGGAGTTTTGAAACTCCAGTAGTCATTGTACAAAAGCCCTTCTTGCATGTAGGATCTGTACTTTCAGGCCAGGATAATGAATTGCTCCAGAAAAGGAGAGAGATTTCTAGGTGGAAGGGATAAAATGCTTTAATACTGAAAGCTTCTTAAATGGCCCATGTTAATAATGCAAGAATCAGAGACTATAAACTGCTTTTCAGCCATGTGAAATGGTTATAGTTCAAAAATGTTGAGAGACTTGTTGAATTGTGTTTTGTATGTGAAGACCTTAGAGCTCTCTACCATGAAGATTATAACAGTGCTGGCTATGATTTATAAGGAGATTTGCATGGCAGGGCAAGGGAAGCAGTAAGAAAAAGCTGCTGTAGTTGCAACTCTTTTGAAAACAATGGCTACTATGTTTATTAGTACAATCTCACATTCATAAGAATTTTTCTGATAAAACTGTGGCCTCCAAAAATGTTTCCTGCTACACAGAATAACAAAATATAACCAGACTAACAACTTTTAAAGAAAGAAAAATTTATGATTAATTTGGACAAGAGGGAATCCTTATTAATGTAGATTTGAGATATACTGCAGCTCTTAGAAGTGGCTTTATGTTTTCATGTCAGCACTATCTACTGCCTGCTTAGCTATCTTTATTAAATAAAAAAAATGCTTAGCATTTGCTTTCTTTAATCTGATGCTTTAAATTATTTTAAGATTTTAACGTAAGAAAAGAAGAAGAAAATGTAGGGGTTTTGCCTTAACTGGTTCTGCCTAACTTAGCAAGTTCTCATTTTTGGAAAAAGGGACACCAGGACTCAAGAATCACTACAAAAATACTTGATTTTAAAAGATAAAAGTACTAAATTTCTGAGCAACATATACCAAATGTTACTGTCATACTCCAATTTTCCTGATACATTCTTTTATTCAGGCAGTAGGTTCAGAGTCAAGGTAGGATCTGATTGGATTGGACAGTGAAAGAACATAAGTCTCCTGGGAAATGCAGTGAACAGCAATGGCACTCATGCTTTTCACCATACACTTTGGCTTCCCAACCAGCTTCTGAGAGCTCTTGACAGGATAATGGCTTAAGAAGCAACCCTCCATTCGAAGAAATCATTCAATCCATTCTTTAGATTCCTCCCTTATCTTCTCTGTGATCCTCCCCATTCCACAAGATGCTAGGTATATTTGATTTTCGTGTACAGCACAAACTATACAGTCATGGCTCTCCTTCTTCCTTTGGGGATTGTGGGATTACAGAATCACAGAATCAATGAGGTTGGAAAAAGATCTCTGAGACCAACAAGTCCAATCTGTGGCTGAACACCACCATGGCAACCAGACCATACCACTGAGTCTATCTTTTTTTCATGTCCAGTCCTTCTTTAAACACCTCCAGGGACTGTGACTCCACCACTTCCCTGAGCAGCCCGTTCCAATGTCTAATCTGTGAAGAAATTCCTCCTAATTCCAACCTAAACCACCCCAGCTGCAGTGTGGGACTGTGCCCTCTTGTCCTGTCACTGGTTGCCTGGGAGAAGAGGCCAACATCCACTTGGCTAGAGCCTCCTTTCAGGTGGGATCATCAAGGACAGGCTGCCTTGATGTCCTAGGCAGTGCAGCATGGCTGCTGATCTTGGCTGATCAAGACTGACATAAATGCCCAGAGCTGTCTGAGAATGAGCCAACTAACACTGTGTGGAGATCTGTTCTTGAAGGAACAACTGCTTAAACAGTCTTTCCTATGCTTTGAACTTGGCAGAGATTTTCTCCAGAGACATTCCTGGCCCCTCTACTTCTCTACCTCTTTCCAGCAACCGGATAAAGGAAAACAGAAGATGAGAATTGCACCTAATGCTGCTTTAAGAAGTTTCTGAGTCTGACCTCATCTTGATCCAACTTTTTTAAACCAACTGACACTTCATCCCTCTTGAGTCACCAGAGCACAGAGGGTCTGCTTAAAGTCATGTATGGTTCTGCACTGGGATGTCTTCTACCACCTCCTCCACTTCTTGGTGTATTCACCTACCTAGCTGAATTTATTCAACTAACTATTGCAGTAGTTATCTGTATTAGTATGTTATGTCCTTAATGCCTTGGATTTTCATACTAGGCTGTCTATATAATGGCTCACTTGCATTCCTTAAAGCACTGTTATCTGTGCTGGCTAGGAACTATCTTTCTTTGTCCTTTTACTGATCTGTCTTAAGATAAAGATTTTTGTTTTTACCAGTGATTTTGAGTCACTCCTGTTTCTGCCATGTTCGCTTATTTTACATAATACTTCTGATAAAGGTTTCAGGATAGTCCTCAAAAAAGTCTGCTTCTAAAATCACTTCTTTTTGGCTTAGTTTCATGTCTGAAAGAAGCAGCTCTCATTCTTAGGAGGACACAGATCCTTTTTGTAGTTACTTGGATTATTGCTTATCCCTTCTAAAAAACTTTAAGCTTAGGAATACCCTCAATATGGCAAAAAAAAAAGGAATATAATAAGGAGAACTCATCAATCTTTCCTCATATTTGGGCAGAGAAGAAAGCTTTGGAAACTTCCTTTATTAAAACTAATTACTTCTGATGCTAATATCTAGCATTCCTCCTATATTTGCCACTTGCTCCCAGATAATCCAGCAAAAATTTTAAGAACTAATTGTAGAGCTAGATCTTCATGTACTGTCTGAATTTTCTAGGATTCCACTTTATTCTAGGATTATGGGAGAGAATGTATAGATTAAGTGTGCTAGGAGAGCACTAGAAAAAAGCTTTAGAACAGAAAACTGATCTGGCTACTTAGCTATAGAAATAAGGCAAAGCAACATAGTGCTCTGGTAAAATGATCCCTAATTACCTGCTTTAAACTTCTTTTCTACTGTATGTGATGGGAGGTTTATTGGCACAATTGGGACTGCTTATTCCAAGTGGTCAGAGAGCTCCTCTCAGGGAGGATTCTCCTAAATTCTATTAATGCAAGTACTCTGCATGCTTTACTGCTCTGTTTTTGACAGCTGCAGCAATATTTGAGGTGGACCTGTCAGCAAGACTCTGCTAAGCCAGAACATGCTATAGCCATCAAACTTCAGAAGCAAAAGCCTCTGATGGGAGAAGTGACCAGGAACAGCCACAGAGCTCAAGAGCTAATTAGGGCAGTCATTGCTTGATTCTCTGAACAGAAAGTTTGTTTAAATCTAACAGTGGCTGAGGCAGTCTGGGTGTTTCACAGTGTCAGTACTTTCTGCTTGTCTGGACCAACCAGTCTGGAGTCTATTTCTGTATATCTAAAAGCAGCAGTTAAATCTGGCATAATGAATTTATTTTGTCATTTTTGCCTGCAAAGGAAATGGTTTGATTTTAAGAGAATATACATTTGGAATTTTTGTGGTGGGGAAACGAGTATTACTTATTAGCCTCTCAGTTGCTATAAAACAATGCAGACCAAGTGATCTACACTGATTTAAGAAAGAAAATGTGCAGAATTGTCTGCATTTGTTCTGCATTCCATCTTCCTTTGTCCGACAGTTTTTCTTTGAAGAGACATTATTGTGTGAGCAGCCAGCATTTGGCTGCTCACACTTCTCTGTGGCTACAGTTTGGGCACTTCACCACAGTCTTACAAACCATGAAGAGTATTTTAAGCAAACAGAATACAATTGCTGTAACTGGAATTCAGCTCCAAAAGCTTGGACTAACATTCTGCTGACAATGAGAACCATGGTATGATGCAGATTACAATTACTTCTTGAATTTTATGCAAACCCACACAAACTCAAACCCCTTCAACTCTTCTGTTTCTTTAAAACTACAAGTTTTGTCCTTACTCTTGAATGATTCTTGTAGCACTCAAGATTTTCTTTGAAAATTTTCTTTCTGTATAATAATGAGATCTTTACAAGATCCAGCAGAATTTAAACTTGAGATAATATGATTGATTTTTCAGAGCAAGATTTCAATTTAAAAATCAGTAATAGCAGGTTACTGTCCGCTTTGAAGTTATTATTACGTTACACCAAACCAAAAGAGCTGAATGTATATACATATAATATATATAAATGTAAGTGAAATTTGCCAAGCTTTATAAATTAGAGTCACTATTTTCCAAAGATACAGCAGCCAGCCAAGAATATTCCTGATTTTATGTGAAGGTAACCCTCAACAGCATCACAAGAAGTGTACTTAAAAGTACATGTAATTTACAAATATTGTGATTGCATATGCAGATGAGGCACTTCTTTCCTTGGTGGTTAATTGCATATATGGACACCTCATCTGCATGAACAGTTGTGATAAATTAAGATATGCAAAATGCTATTAGCATGTTTGCAAATCAGATGCTGTTCTTAGGGAACAACAGTGATTTGCATCCACCATGGTGCCCTGATTTTATGAGTGGGGTCATTTTAATCATGCTTTGCTGCAGATGTTTTTACAGTATGTATTTAAAAAGTACTTTTTAAATAATGTGCAAAATTTTTAGAATATGAATCCAGGTTTGCTTTCTTTAATTATTGGAAGCTAGACAGTGTAGTCAGTAGTGTATTATGAAACAGAGCAATGAGAATGAAAAAAGGGTGAGAATTTCAAATTGACATAATATGTTCCAACCCAAATACCTGATCTGTAGGAAGACAGATTTGTTTGTGCTTGTTTTCTATAGGATTGGAGCAGAAGCAAGAGTGAGAGTACTGATGGGCTGAGTATCAGAGCAGTCAAGTCTGTAACAATCTGCATGTTTGATCCATGCTGTCCTAGAAGCTGTTTTACAGAATAAGAATTCAGCACAGGAAATTGAGAAGAAGCTTACACATCTTCCCAATTGCATTTATGAGCAATTCAAATCTAAGAGGAACTGACATGCTGCTGGATGCAGCTTCATACCTGGTGAACTTGTGTCAGGACTGCATCTAGTCTTCCTGACCTTTTAATATAGCCAGTCTTAGTGATAGAGCATTTAGGTTTTGGAGCTTTAATCTTGAACTGGGAGAAAGAATGCTGGACAGATTTTTCCAGTTCACACAATCCTAAGATTATAAGATGAAGAAAGATTATAATACATACAAGGATTTCAATACAAACAGTGATTAAGCAGTGGAGTGATGGGGGGAGAAACTTGAATTTTGTCAACATCTCAAGTAAGTATCTCCCACAACTAAGTCTTCCAAAATGCCTTACCTGCAAAGGTGTTAAGATAGAAGGTTTTTACAGCATAGTAGTCTGAATTGTTGTCTGGGAAAAAACCAATTCGAGACAAAGGAGCGTATGTTTCTGATGAAAAGTCATTATACTCTTTGATGATATCTCGTCTTTCCAGCTTTCCCATACAATTCTTCCTCTTAGCTATCAGTTTCCTGAGCACTGAAAAGGAAATACAAATGTGAGATGGCAGTTCACACAAATAGTTCTGTAAAAGCCATATCTCTGTAAATTGACAAGAGCTTTTGCTAGATAAAATAAAAACATGACAGACCAAATGCTGGCCATGCACATCGATATTGTGGATGCAACCTATTTAGTTTTGAATAGATGGTAACCTTGTGAAAATAGAAGTACCTTGTCTGAAAACTGTCTTATACCCCTCTCTTCCTGTCTTTCAGACTTACTTAATGCACAGTCATGCTGAATCTTTCTTATTTTCTCTTCTTTAGCCTTCTGATGATTTTGCCAGTGGTTGTTCAAGCGCATGGCATTCAGCTCATTTTGATTCTCCTCTCGCCTCCACAGCAGCTTCTTAAAGAGTTCCATTTTAACCTTCTGCAACCTGCAGGGAAAGAAAAGGTCAGACAGTATTGGGTGTACTCTGCAGTTCCAATTGCAGTTCTGTGCAATGCTGTCACCATCAAATCCTACATACCTTTACAAAGAGCTCATATTGCATATCTCATATTCAATATTTCATTTTAAAAAGGGAGTTAAGCACTGGTAAAATATATTGTGGTAGCAGACCTGTAGATTAAATTTAAGAAAAGCATCCCTTCCCAAAAATCAGGTATTTTCACATAAATAGAAGGCTTGTTGTACTCTTCAGCCAATCCCCTAAACCTTCTTGCTCCTTCTCTATTCAGCCAATAATTAAAAGAAATAAAAAAGTATAATTGGATTCCTACTTATCTATTTCCTCTTCTCTATAGGCCCACTCCTTCCTTTCCATAGCCTCCATCATCTTCAACCTCTTTGCGACGTTTGAGGGACTGTCCATGGGTGGCAGAGCTGCTTCCCAAGCGCGTTTCTCCCGGATGCGGTCAATAATCTCCATCTCAGCTTGTCCTGCTGGCAGCCCCCGACCTGACAGGGACAAGAAGCATTAGCTCTTTGGGAGAGTGGCAAATCCTACAAATAGCCACCACCAAAAAGTATAAGAGGACATGGATATGTGGGCACAGGCCCACATGTTAAACACAAGCAGAACTGTCAAAAGCTAGAAGGAAATACTTCTAAGGCCAGTGAGATTCTACAGTATAGAGGAATGGTAGGACCTTCAGTTGCTACAGTTCAGTGCACATTAACACTGACACTTCATTCTTCTACTGCTTTTCTAGGAAGACACTTTCTGAGAATAAGCACTTTCTTTGGTATGTGCAGTGTCCATCATCGTTACAGGTGAGACATCACAAGTATATTCCGGGGCAGCAGCCTTCATACTGTTTTTTTTTAAACAATGTTCAACTCAGAGCAGCTGAAGAACAGTGGGTAAATGGAATAACTGCTTCTAGTTCACATTTGTGAAACATGACCTTTTTATATTGAATGGTCTTCAAAACTCTTGATGAGAACAGCACCATTAAGTAGGGAAATATCATACTTATTTTAGAAACAGATAAAATAATTGCCCCAAATGCACACAAAAAAGGACCACCAAAGCCGGCAATAGACTTGAAAAGACAAGAAAATAAAAGAAATAAACTTCCTGCTAAAGAGGCAACATGATTATTGTAATTTATCTTAATTTCACAACTCACCCCAAGTGAGTATAGCCAGTGTCAGAATTTCAGGGACTGAGCCACTACGAACTATATATTCAGGGGAATAGGGATCTGTCTGTGCTTCACCATCCCTGTAATCTGTCTGTGTTCCCAGAGTTCGGAACATGGGGACAAAGACCCGTCTGTCTCTTGCAGCTGACTGGACACTCGGCTTTGTCCTAAAAAAGAGGTGCGAGATGGAAGAAGATTGGTCACATTCATTAAAAAAACCTCCAAGCAAACTAACGAGAAACACATCAGTCAAAGGTGGGAGTCTTAAATGTGTTTCAGTTTATCTTAACATTACTCCCATTGGAGTAATAATAAAATAATAATAAATAAATAAATAAAATAATATCATTATCTTTAGTAAAAGCAGACTGAAGCTATAATGAGTCTGAAACACACTCCTTAAGTAAATAATCCAGAAATCTTCTAGTTTCAGCTCTCATGATTATTACATACAAATCTTCTCTATGTATCCATTTTAAAACATTGTGTTTCATGGACAGAAAATCGTTGAAGTAACATGAAGTAGGACTGCTTCAATTTAGCTTACATGTTCCTCTTCCCAACAATCCCAGAATAAAAATTTAATTCTGATATAAGCACGTGCAATTTCCACTGACTCTACTAGAAACTGAATTTTATTATGTGACCTCAAAATTTGATACTTGCTGAAAACCACATTAAACTACATCATGGATGCTCTACATCTCTGAGCAGCATTGCATCTATCACAGAAATTGTGATAAAATATCAGAAAATTTTCCAACAACATTTCTGTACCAGAGACTCTTCTTTGCAATGGTATCTCTTCTAGAATTCAGAGACATCTAGCCTTCTGCTTCAAGCCTTAGTCTTAATGCACTACAGGCTTGTCCTTTATTCACAAAGCACTACTTATATACTGCAAGCAAATTCTGAAACAGGCCATCACCTGTTTCCTCTGGAATTCTCAGTCATCAGAACAACATCTTACCTCTTAACAAGCTTTTCCTATTAGTTCTTTATGAAAACAAGTGGTCACCAGCTAAATAGTCTCCTGATCTTTTTCTGGTGAGATGTTTTCCATTACAACAGTAATTCTTCACAAGTCACTACTTACTCTGTACTGGCAACAGCTTCTAGAACACCAGGTGGAGGCAGCTTAGAAGACTTGACAGGTCTGAAAAGAAAGAATGAAAGTAAGATAACAAGGATGAGCTTAAAATATTGTGACGATTTAGAAAAACGGCACTAAATTCAGTGGAGTTAATACTGATTTTCCAGTGTTCCGACTGTGGTTCTGTTAGTTGAATGTTTAAGAATTGTGCCTAAATATTAAAGAACTCTTCCATAACTAAGGAGGAATAGAGGAAGTTTCACCAGTGGGACTGAGTCTTATTCTTAAGTCAAAGCAGAAAGTGGAGTTGCAAAACAAGACAATTATTGAAGTTAGTTTTGAGTATGTTCCCAACATTTTGTATGTTTTACTAATTAGTTTCATTTTTTTCACTTCACTTTTGCTTTTTTGAAAGAGTTGTAGGTTTTTTTTAAATAACTGCTTGAAATCCTGAAATTCATTCCTACAATCAGCTGATAGGCTGGTTTGGACTAATCTAATTTTATTGTTTCCTTTTCTGCAATACTTTATGAGCTATCTTGAAAGTGATATGGGCTCAACAACATATTCATAATTCCTTCCTAGGCATTCTTATATTTTGCATATTGCAGTTCTCTATCGATTTCCCTTAGCCTTTGGGAGACTTTGAAGCTCAATTTCATATTGCAGAAGATAACATCATTTTTGTCCTTTTAAAACTGTTGATAAAGGAGACACAATAGACTTCAACTTATTAAACTTGGCAATTTTTTTATATTTAAAGTGGACATAGTGGCCAATAGCTGCTGAGTAAAATAGTGAATGCAATTCAAAGTGTATGTGACTAAGTTAAGAATGTTTATATGGTAGCTGTTGGTTCAGATCTTGAGTCCATTGCTGACCTGCAGTGTCCTTCTGGAAGGAGCAGAGCAGTCCTGCAGTAGGGGACATGGATAAAAAGTTAATCAAGGCTTCCTTCTGCTCCCTTTCTGCTCCTGGCAGAAACTGGGAGTTAAAAGGTTCCTTCCTAATAAAACACCTTTCTTGGGGTCTGGAGAACCACACTGGCTTTGTGTGATATCTTCTTCCTTTGCACAGGATAATTTACAGCCCAAAGCTTTCTTATTAAGTACAGAATATCTGATATATTTGCTTATATGGTAACTCATAACTGAAAATTCTGTCATAGTGTGAACTTAAAAAGACCTTGTGTTTTAAGATATGGCTACTATTAAAATTTTCCTTATCAGTGATCAAAGAACTGAGAAAAAATACAGAAAAAAATAATGCTCTAATCTTTTCTTGGGTGCTCTTTAGACTGCACAGAAAAAAACCTGAACCCTGTTTCAAATCAGTTTGTTCCTTACCGTGCAAAATATTTGTAGCGATTCCTTCCTTCAACTTCAGGATCTTCATACACAATCTGAGGTATCTGAAGAGAAGACTGACCTCTGAAAGCCAAAATACAGAGTATCATTTAAGAAGCACCTTCAGAGAAGTTCTGATCTTTTTTCCTGATGCCCCCTTTTTTTTTTCCTCTTTGTCACTTCTGGTTGCACTATCCAACATGCTGCATACTCTAAATTCCCCCCAGTTCTCACACTTAAACAAGCAATTTTACCTTGGTTTTTTTTCATATTTACCTATGTAGCAAAACAGTTTGATACTTTATGTATATTTCCCACTATGTGTGGTCAAGAAATGGTCTTTGCTGCCTTTCTTAAACCTCTTTTATGAGCTTGTTTTGAAAAGGATTAACCACTTTTACATGCTTGACTTTGTAAAGGAAGCTGCTTTTATTGGAAGTGGAGGGAGCAAACTTATTATCTTAAGAATGAAACAGTTTCCAAATATGTGTAAAGACACAGAATGAGCAAAGGAGAAGATACTTTCTACCTTTGAAAAGCAGGTAAAGAGATTTTGAGCAAATGTTTAAAAATTTAAAATCAGCAATTTCAATGTGAGTTCCCCAGTAAAGGAGAAAAATTAGGACAATCATAGGAATGTTTCAAAATCTATGCTGGAACAACCATAGCTTTTGCAAGAACACTTCATTTTTTTTCCCCCAGTTTGAATTTAAATTAGGCAGACTGTTTAAATTTTTCACTATAACATCTTGAAGAGTTTTCTTTAAGGCTTTGGAAGATCATATGGAAAACCTCATTAAGGCAGTCAGTGGAATAATGGGTAGAACTGAGAAATTTGAAAGCTATTCATCAGGATTGCTATTTGATTTCACAACTGCTTTATACTCCAGTCTTACTCTTCTCAACCTGCACAGTTGTTAAAGACAAAAAAATAGAAGTTCTTCACAGAGAAGTTGTGGATGCCTCATCCCTGGAAGTGTTTGAGACCAGGTTGGATGGAGCTCTGAGTGAACGATGTCCCTGCCCATAGCATGGGGATTTGAACTACATGACCTTTAAGGTCCCTTCCACCCCAGGCCATTCTATGATGATTTTATTTCTTTCAGCTATGTGTATGGCTAGTCCTGAAGGGCAGGTTTTGCATAAGACCATAAGGCAACTTGAACGAATTCTGACCTTAAGGTGTATGGACTTGTAGGTGCTGGGGGTGGTTGCTGATGCCTAATTTTAATTACAAAGGTATATTTACAGAAATACAATTAACAATACATAACATTGCTCAACAGCTGAGATCAAAATAGAGGATTACATGCTGAGATCAGTTGTCTTCCAAGCCCTCATCTAATTCCTGCAAACTGTGCTGTGGAATCTGGGGAGGGAGAGTATGGCTACCTGCCACAGGAAAGCAAGATGTTTCATTAACCTCCCATGACACATGATTTACTGCCAAGGTAAGTTTAAAGTCATCTCTTCCCAAGGCTTTCAGTCCCATCACATAGGAAAAGAGAAGGGAATATTTTGAGATGCAATGTCGTAACCTGATATACTTGCTCAGCACTAATCAACCTATTATTCTGAAACTGTGTGTGTAATTCAAATGAGTTAATTGAGCTGATGGCTAGTTCCACTAGCTGACTCTTTACATATCAGACTGTTGCTCCATCCAGATGGATTTGTGTTTCATTCAGCACAGGTGGGCACTTATTCTTATGATCTAACTTTATTAGCATAAACCGTTCATCCTATTATGGAATAGTTATAGGCACAATGGGAACCCAGGGAAATAGCCTTTTTATTCCACAGATCCTGCCTCTTGCATGTCCTTGACTTGTACTTGCTGACTTTGCTGAAATAAATGAGCATTTATTCCCTGTAACCTTGCAGAGGCAATGCAACTACTGAGAAGACAGCTGGGAAATATTCTGTCTTCCATATCAGCAGCACTGTCAATCAGCACAGGCTGAAACAGAGGGGGTGTATTTCTTGGATTTTGTTAATTGCAAGATATTTTGCAAATACATGTTGTTGAAATGTAAATCAACTTTAAAGCAGTGCAGGTGTCAAGTTGTTACAGAATTGAAGGTAAAATGTAAGAAGCCATTGAGGTGTTCAAGTGCTGGGGACAGTTTGAAACACTGAAAATAGTAAATAGAAAAAAATACTCCAATTTTCTTTTTTTTTCTTTTTATTATGGAAATTAGAAGACTATGCCTTTGAAACTGAACAAAACCAGGTGTGAAATCCACCATATCACTCTTGAGCATCTTTGATTATTGTCTGGCATGTGGTAGGACTCAGTTACCAGCAACCCCAGAGCAAGCACCATCGGAAAAGCCCATGGTCTAAAGCTGGCTGCTTAAAACAGAAAGAGCCTTTGAAAACAAAATCCTAGGCTGATGTCTGCAGTCTTGAACACAGCTACAAGAGGACTTAAAAAAGCCTGTGGTGTGGCAAAAACATGAACTTTTTTTTTAATATCTGCTGAATCAGAACCCAGTTTGTGACACCAGGAGAAAGCTCAACTAAGAAACCCCAGCACTAAAAATGTGGTGCCCTTGTTCAGGCCCCAAGGACCCTGGAAGGAGCAGCAAAAGCAACCTAACCAGCTGCAATTGCACGGGACTAAAATCAAAGAGCTCCCACTGAAGTAACACACATGAGTCACTGAAGTCTTCATAGCTCATCTGATCTGTAAGAGATTGAAATAACTCTTCTTTTTCATGGCAACCGCTGCAAGGCAGATAGCACAGGGATGAAGGAATGTGCAACATCCACCCTGTAAGAAACAGATGGGTAACCATACTCCACAACAGCTGCAATCTCTTAATTTCAAGGGAAATATAAGTAGGAGCAAATTGCAGTCATCTCCACTTCAGCGTGCATGGCTTTTTGTTGGTTTTGTTTGTATGTTCATTTTAAATTATCCAACCATAGAACACTTACACAGCAAGCTGCTGAAGAGCCTCCAGGCGCTGCTGAGCTCTCCATCTTCGACCAGTATATGCAGACACTGGATCTTCGTCCTTGAAGCACAAACTGCAGGCTGGGAAATGAATCAGTCCAGTAGCCATGCTTCAGAATATCGGTGCCTTCACCTAGCATTTGTGTGGACACACAGAAGAGAGGCCATAATTTAGCCACTTCAAACAGCATTAAAGAGATCAGAATTCTAGCCTGCTGTGATTTACAGGACTGCACATTTGGGATGGGGAAAGAAGGCGGCATACGTATGCTAATGATGTCAGCTAGTTGGATGGTTCTTCTCAAGATGTGGATCATACCAGACTAGCAGCAGATGCACAGATTTGTCTTCTGGCTGTTTTCCAGTGCTAAACTTATACTGAAAACCAAAAGGTCTAACGGTTTGTTACATAAAGAAGTTAGTGTGCAGCAACTGTGAATGTGCAGCAATGTGAACTTCTAGCACATTACCCCATGTAACTCCCTCCTATTTCTAGTGCTCTAGAAATTAAGTAACATATTTCACTTGCAGGGTAAAGTTACATTATTTTATACTGGAACAATTTTAGCATTTGTTAAAAATAACTCAAAAGGAGCTAGCACACAAAAATGATCACATTTAACATCTACATCCTTCCTTTTAAGGACTAATTTCCCTGGGTAGATATGCCTTAAATTGCTAAATTTATGGTTGCAAATAAATCTTTGCAATTGTAAGTATAAGTGATGTAGCTCTATTGGCTTGAGCTTCTGTAAAAACTGAAATCAGAACTGAATTATGAATTGCCCCTTTGATTTCAGCAGATGCTAACTCAAATGCATACAGGTGACATTTCAAGTACTCACCAGAATGTAAGACAATGTCAGTTGATGAAGATCTAGGCACCCTACCATGAGTAGCTTCTTGCTGTACATGAAATTGCATTTTTGTTCCATTTCTCTTCAAAAGGAGCTCAACTTTTGAGAATTTAGAATACCTGTGAACTAACAGTATCACAGCCTCTGTCCATCCCAATTTATGAAGCTACAGATTAAGAATTCAAGAATGTAGGGTTTTGAATGACACGTTATGCACTTGCTGATTGATTCTAAAACATGTTTTATGCAAGAGTCTGCCACCACACCCACCTGTGCCATTACACCTGTGACATGACAACTTTAGTTCTGTTTACTTCATCTGGCCTGAACTGTTACCACAGCCATATTGTTGCAAGGGTCTCACTGATGACAGGCAATGTTCCCAGCTCTGTCTGCATATCTCTCTATGGAGAGGCAGACAAATACTTTTTTTGTTTTCATGTAGATATAAGAAGCATTCTATGATAATGTAGTAAGAGATAACCAGCAACATTCTTCAAAAAAATGCTCCCTGACTCCATTGTTGGAAAGTTGCTCAGGGCTTTTCTCCTTGCTGTACAGCAATGAAGTCTGAGTTCAGAATATCTGCCTTGCAGCCTCAGTCACATGCACAGCTCCAGCAGTGCATATTTAAATCCAGTTTAAAATCCAATTCATTGTGCAGTTGCACCAAGTGTGTTTTCCTCTGGCATTCTACCTGTATGTATTCTGTGCAGCTATCAATCACTCCTGTCTGAAGGGGTGACTGCAGCTCCCACAGACATGCTCTACCTTGTTTTAAACTAGCTAAGGAGAATACTGACAGCAGGGGAGCAAATGTAGTAGGAAGCCAAGCATGGGCTAACTAGGTAAGGATTAGCTAGGAAGTTAAACTTTGTAATTCTGTGTGAAGAATTAGCATGGATTTGAAGTCTTTATTGGCTGCTTAGATGTCACTAGATATTTCATTTTAGTCTAAGTAGGTGTAAGTATATCCCAAGGTAAGTAAATGAGCTGTGTGAAATGTCAGCTCTGCTTGAACAACAGCCCAACAGCTGCCCACTTATTTTATTAGGTCTAAGTAACATAAACAAGCTATAGTTAACAGCATATGAAAATAGTCTATTAAAAATATTGACACACAGCTTAGGAAATTACTCAGAGCATGAAGCTGGGTATTTTTTGGCTGCTGTTACAGTCACCATAGGCCAGCAATCATGGCTACTCCGTGTTGTCTTGTTTTATCTAAAAACTTCTTTCTCTGTTTTGTACTTTGCTGTTTTAAGGGAGCAGCTTATGACTGAGACAGAGTTTCTACCCATGTGTATACAGAAAAAGACAAGGTGAACATGTGAGCTGTCTCTGGCCAACACCTACCACTCTATCACCAAATTGAGCGTGGACATCTGACTTTGGAGGGTCCTTCTCACTTCACTGTGTACAGCGGGTCTGAAAGACAAGTGAACAAATGGAATTAGTTACATACTTAAGGAATCAGCAGGGTCCACTTCCCTCTTTAAAAGTCTATAAGAGAGTACAAAACAAACTAGGAAGAAAGAACTGAAATATATGTCTCTGTATCAAACAGATGTCACCATCAGCATCAGAGCTGAAATCCTACTGTTCTGTGGAAGATACCGGTGAAAAATCTAGTAGAAAAATCTGCTTCCTTTGGAGGCACCATCAATTAAACCGAAAACCCGATGACATGAAACATTAAAAGGCAGGCGTGGTGCAACGATAATCAGTGGAAATACCATACTGTACATGATGCTTCCCTCTGGGACACAGCTGGCCTTGCTCCAGCGAATGTTTCATGGTCCCAGCCTCCTTGAAGCCGCCAGCCCATCTCTTGCCCGCTGCTCGGGCGGCGCCCCCCCCGTGCCGAGCTCGGTGACAGCCCCGGGGCCCTGGGGCAGAGGGGCCCCTCGGCAGGGAAAGCCGCGGGCCGGGGGAGGCCTCACACCCCGCCCAG